TTTTGTTTTCCTGCATGTAAAATTAGTTGTTGGTGCCTGCAAAGATTAATTGTCATATTTTGCAATGGTTGGAAATTTAGCAATCTGATATTGCTATGTGCTGATATAAGGTTTCAAAATTCTATTGCCTAGTGGCATCAAATCTTTACATACCTGAGCAAAAACACAAGTATTATATATAAAGCTAATATGCCATCCTTTTGACCATTCTATCTAAACCGTAGCACTTCACTTGTTCTCAAGCTCCAAGTTCAAATAACATTACATATATGCACTTTAATCTAATTGTTACTCTTCTTTTATCTTTATTCTTAATTTTCTATTGGTACTATATTTTATTTAGATTGTGCAACCATGGCGGTGGATAATTGGACCATGTAACACCTCAGGTGTTTGCCACCAGTTAAGCAATGGGTTTGAGCTAAAACATGGTATATTAAGTGATGATGAAGATGTCAAGGTCAAACCTATAGAAACGAGCTCCAACCTAAACTTGGATATTGCACCTTTGCTTTTTTCAAGATATATGCTTGGGTGGTGTTATTGGAATATCTTCATGTGTCTCACATCAATAACCATCTATATTGATCCATGGAAAAGTTTCGTGAAGTTTGGAATCAAGAAGTCACATGAAATGACAAGTTATGTCCTTGCTTGGATCGCTTTATAAAGTGAATGGAATTCTAGATTGTTCACCAAACCTTGCAAACTTGCCCAAATGACTCTAGATGAACTCTACAACAAAAGTCATGAAAGGTTCATGTTGAGCAAATGCCAAGAAAATGCTCCAATGGATCAAAAGGATAATTTAAGCTTCATCGTGATCCTACTTTGGTCAAAGTAGAACAGTAGGTTCTATACCAGTTTTGAGGTTGGACCTTAAATGAAAGTTGTAGTCCATATCATGTAGAACAAACTTTGTTTTTGGACCAAGAGCTAGATCAACTTGGAAATAAGTCAAACAGAGGCTCGAAGTTGGAACTGCTGCTGATTTCAGCACTTAGAAATATTCTAAGTCTGAAATTCATCGACATTGGCATTGACGTCTCGCGTTCTCCAAATTTCGTTAAGTAACTTGACTTGACCCCAAAATAGAAGTTGGAGCTAAGTTCATGGAGAAGGGCATGTAAAAAGATGGCACCAGTTTGACCTCGTTTTCACCGTCAATTTGAATGTTTGCTTGTCATTTGTCAATATCTGGCGACACTAGCAGTTTGTGGCTTAATTACCCGTTGTTGAAGAGCTCTAATGACCTTGGTCTCTAAATGAAAAATGAAGAGCAGTTCGCGGGCTTCAAACTTCATTTTTGGCCCTTGGACCAATTCGGACCAGAGACGGCCCAAAACGGCGTCCCACCTTCCCCTCACCGTCGCCCGCCGCGTGTTCGTCTGAATGACTCAAGTGGCGGCCATGCACCGTAGCGCCCCACCATTGCCGCACTGCTGCTGCTGCGCGTCTAGCTCCGCCACGCCGCCGCCTCGCCCTCTGCTCCTCCAAAACCATGCGCCAGTATTGCCCAAAGATTCACTCGCTCCCCACTTCCTTATTCACTCCCTCCCTCACCTGCCGCTCAGCCAGGTCAGTGGCCCGATTGTCGGCTGCCAAGCTCGAGTTGCCGCTTGCCATAGCCATGTTGCTGCCCTCGGCCTCTCGATGCCCAGCTACTGCAGATCGTTGTCATGTTCCTGCTCCGCACCCTGTGCCCTCTTGTTGCCGTGCCCATTTTGGAGTTAGCCGTCCGCCGAAGCAGTAGCCGCCGCCTCTGCCTTTGACGCCATGATCGGTCGAATTGGGCTAAGCCGAGTGGCCCAGCAGGCCGCAAGGGCCCCCGGTGCTCCTCCGCCCCTCCATCGCATGGGCCGAGCCTCCCTCTGGCCCAGGCACCGTGAGCCTCCGACGGCCTCTCTGCTTTGAACCCCGTCAAGGACTTCGCGCAAGAATTCGAAGAAAGGGAGGGTCTTATCTGCAATGTCATAGACTCAGGTGAATAGTGCCATAAGGACTGGTTTGTAATTATTTTGCAGGAACTTTGGAAATTCATAGTAAATCGTAGGAAATTCGTAAAATAGCAAATGAGGACTTTTTGGAATCCTTGTGAAATTGTCTATGCAGTGGATCTATAATATGGCATGTTTTAGTTTAAATATTTTGCGGTAAAAATAGATTTGTGCAGGAAGGTTGTAATGCTAGTTGAATTTGTTATTTTTCATAACTGTAGATCTAGGGCTCCAAATGAAGTGAAATTTTTGTGGCATGCTACTCATGTGATAGTTGATGTGTGGTAAAAATTTCATGAGTATTGGATGAAGTATGAGTGAGTTATTGGTTTATCTTGCTCTCACATGAATTCTTGCTTTAGCAACTTGTCTTTTTCATAGAGGTTGCTATACATATTAAAATGGAGTGAAATTTGTACAGTAGACTATTGAGAGGACATGTGAGCCACTGTAATTTTTGTAGAATTTATTGTATACTTTTGGTATATGTTCATTAAGTCACCTTGTTATCTAAAATAAATTAAGAAATGCATTAAAAGAATTTATTTGGTCATGGACACTAGGTTTTCTGGTGTTCTTTAGTCATGTGTGAAATGTTGGTAAAGTTGGTTTTGCCCAATTATGCATTTGCAACATAAGTTAATAATTATTTTCTTGCCGATGTGGTTTATGGACAGATCTGGGAACTTAGCAAAGTTCTTCATGATAATGTGTTTTGTTGTGAAATTTGTTTATACAAAAGTTGTAGATAATTCATGTATCTAGATTCTATTAAAATTTGGTGTCATTTGGCCAAGTAGTTTAAGAGTTATAGCTGTTTAAAGTTGGGTTTCAGGAATGACTGCTTTCTGTCAATTGTAGACCAGTTTCTGTAAATGGATATATTTGACTTAGTTAACTTAAGAATCATGCTAAGATGATTAAAGATGAATTGTAGAAAATTTCATAAGCTTTCCATAATGTCTTCTTTCAAGTCATTTGGATTTGTGTAACTCCAGTTATAGCTAAATCTTGTAGCTGCTGTTTGCATGTCCAGAAATTGGCAGATTCCAATTATAGTGCTTGCTTGTATATTGTTAAGTGTGACGTATGCCTTGAATGATGACTGAGAGCACTTGAGATCTTGGTAAACTTGTGTCATGATTGGTGTTGTCGTCTTCTTTGCCATCTTAGCATGATAGATTGTGTGATGTTTAAGTTAAGCATCATAAAGTACTTAAGTGTGTTAGTGTAAACTATGCTTGTCTTGCTTGCTATTTTGTGATGTGTCTCATGGTACTATTCTTCATATTTATGCACTTGCATATTGCATCTCATCTAGGTACGCTAGATGAACCACGTGAAGGACGTGATGTTGGAGCCAAACCGAAGACGGTGTTTGATGGATCTGTCCCGAAGATGGAAGGACTAAGCGAGTGCTAGAACCGGAGATGTCACCGTGGATGGTGCAAGCTAACCTGAATGACTTGTGTTCCTGTGCAAGCCCGGAGCATTATAAGTCTCCTAATTTATAAAAGCAATTCTTTCTATATATGAGTTATATATTGTTGCATTAAGTTGTAGGAGTTGATTGAAACCGTTGATGCATTTATTACTATCCTTGCCTACCTTATTACCCTTTTACCCTGTTAGGTTAGGATCGAATAACTGCTTAGCCTTGCTTAGACCGGTAGCGATCGGTGATATCCGGTCACCTACATTTATAGGTGGTTACTTTGGAAGAATTTAGCTATGGAAAGAATGATATCCTGGAATTAACCATGTGTGATGGATAATTGGAGACCGGACGGAAAAGTTGGAGGCAACCAGACAGGGTTCTGGGGTGCTGTTAGTTTCCGTCTGTGTCGATTAAGGACCGACCGTTGTTGGGCCTCGAGTCATGTTGAACGCATGCCTTACATTTAGCTGGCCGGATAAAGTACCTTCCGGCGCGAAGCTGGGAGATTTTTCGGGCCGAGTAGATTGCCCATGGCAATGCATGCTGAGCAGGTGTGGTAGGACACGGGCGGGATGATAAGACCAAAGTGCGTCGGTCGGCCCCGGTACATGTGGTTCTGAAACTCGAGATACCTGGAAAGTTGACTCGGTGATCAATATCTCACTTTAGCGGGTGAGTGAGGTTTGTGTAAGGAATAAATCACCAGTGGTTAGGAATCGATTGAATCGCCATCGCTCTGGATAGTGAGCACTTGACTCGAAAGTTACTTCATCGTAGTAATTATTATGGAACAATGATGGTTATCTGGATGGTATGGGATATGCTAAATCTAAATTGGTAACTGGATGTTATTGGTTAATCAAGTGATTGCTATAGTACAGGTGCTTACCTAGATGGATAGGTCATAATAAAGATGATGCAAAGTATTTAAAATGGTTTCTTCATGATAGCTTATGCTTTTCGCAAAACAAGTCAAAAGCCCACTAAAGAAAGCCTTGCATGATCCTTGGTGTCATTTGTTTTGGTTTCCGACGGTAAGTCCGGCTGAAAGTACATTCGAGTACTCGTGGTTTATCCCACCTTGTTGCAGGTGAAGTTCTCGACCTGTTGATGATGGTGGCTAACAACTGGGTGGGCTCGGTGATTCTATATTGACTTCTCATCTATATGCTTTTGTCGGATGATGTCACTTATGCTAGCAATATATTTGGAACTTATATTAATGTAATCATTTGAAAGCTATGTTGTTTTCACTAAGCGGTTTTGAAACCCAAATTTGTACTATTATTTGTTAAACCCTTTGTAACATTATTTTTCACGTTGCAACCCGATGTATGTGATGTGTATTTGCTTAATCACGCGATCTTGGTTGTGATGTTGATTTACCGAGGTCTTTTCGGGACACTCGGCGGACTACCGGGTTTATATGAGTAAAAGTATGGGTGTGTCAACGTGTTAGCGGGGACAACCATACTTGATCTTGTATAAATTGGGCGGTTCTGTCACAGACCATAAATCTTGAATGTGATGGGGCACCTGAAGGAGAGAGACATGTGCAAACGGAAATGGACAGAGATGTGATATGCTACTGGAACCTGATTGATTTGATCAAGGATCATGGATACTCATCAGTTGACTATCTATACTACAAGCGAAAAGATAGCTTGGTTGTACTAGAACAAGATCCTGAAGTGATGAAAATGCTTAACGAGTGTGAGAGCAAAAAGATGGTCAGCTTGTTTGTGACAAAGGACAGACTGACCACTTTAGCGCCTACCAAGTCCAACAAAGAACCATCCAAATCTAAACAAAAAAAAACTAAAGGTATTAGAATGAACATATAATTTTACTCTTCTGTATGTATATCTGATTATTCAAGTACAACTTAACTATTCCATATCATGGTAGTTATCAATGGTTTATTTTCATCCAAGATTAGCCTATTCAAAATTTGTTTAGCAGGAAGAGGAGGTACAAAGAAAAAGAAAGCATTAAATTTAATGCATACTGAAGCACTATATGCTAACGAGGTTGAGCAGCGCGATGATGAGAACCAGAACACATCAGGTACAAATGTAGTTAGATCAATCTCATTCATATGGACTATATCTTAACTAGTTACTATCACTGTCATTCTATTTTTAATAGCTGATGGCGACAAAGAACCTAAAAAGCGAAAGGGGACTGTTTTAACACATGTTTGGGATCTACTTGACGGAGATAGGATAGTAGTAAGATGTAATAAGCTTGGACAGCCCATTGGAAAAGAAGGTGGCCTTTTAGGTCAATTTTTGGGCACCATAGCAAGAAATGGTGGTTACTGTCCGGTTGGTGCCAAAGATTGGAGAAAAGTTAAGAAAGACTATGGAGAAACCATCATTCAATTTGTACAGGTTAGCTCTTTCTTCGCTCTTAGCACCTACATCAGTTTGTCTCTAGCCATCTTTGTTTTTGTTTCAGTTCGAAAATAAACATGATATATCTTGAATAGATGAGAGGTTATTTGGGATGATGATTTGGTCTTTTTATTCAAGTGTAATTGAATTTGTGAAGTGAATTACATCTTAAGTGTTGAGTGCGATGGCGTTTAGCTCATATAATATTGTGAGCCCACGTGGCGGATGATAGGCAAGAGTGTTTGGTGCAGATTTCATTGTTTAAAAGATATGATTGTTATCATGTCATGAAGTCAAATTCATTCTTTAGTGACTTTCTTATTTTAGACAAAGTTCTTGTATCCTCATTCATGTGAGAAATGGATATTCAAATCAATTGGAAGAGATTGGAGAAAATACAAGGCAACATTAAAAAAGACACTATTTAATCCAAAGAAGAAAAGGTCTGTTTTGAACAAGCGTTGTCCAGATGATATTGTTGAAGCTGAATGGAAGGCCCTAGTAGGATACTGGAAGTCCGAAGAAGGAAAAGTAAGGCACCACTATTTACACTGTTTGGTATTTTTTACTATCATCGTCTACTATTGTTGATTTCTACATGTATAATGGTTCATTATTTAATAATTTACTTTTCTTGTAGACCCTTAGTGAAAAGAACAAAATAAGTCATGAAATGAGGAAGACAACTCATACAGCAGGTACAAAGAGTTATGCTCGTTGGTCTAAGGACATGGTGAGTACATCTTCTCGTAAAAAAATTATATATGATTCTTCTTGCTTTTCCTTTACTACTATTTTTGCAGAGGCAAGCTGATCCTGAAAAAAAATAGCCACATAGAGCAAAGGTTTATCTAGCCACTCACAGGAAAAGGGGAAAAGGGATAAATGAGCCAGTGGTATGCTACATGCACATGGGAACTTTTTTGCAATATATAATTATTTCTGTTTTCTAATGTCTGGATTTCATTGTTGTAGGTTCAATTGGAAAATCTCCTAGACACACAACCAGAGTTAGCACAAAATAGTGAGGGCGGAGTTGCATGGGAAGGTGATGCATTACATCAGGTGTTGGGAGAAGAAAAAGCTGGACAAGTGCACGGCATGGGATTGTTTCCGGTTCCTAAACAAGTTTATGGTCAAAAAACACACCATTTTAAGGACATTAATATAGTTTCACTAGATGGCTCATCATCTGATGTAGAGGTTCACATGTTGGAGGAAATAAGGCAACTCAAAGAGCATTCTAGAATGCAAGACAAAGTTATCGAAGAACTAAAAAACAATCAGAGGCACGATGAGAACCAAGAAGCAACAATGGTAAGAATGTACAGCTTAATTTTGTAACTCTGTATTGAAATGCGTTATTCAAACTTTATATCTTTTGTAGGGAAATTGTGCTAGGAGTGATCACAACAATTCTCAGAATCAAGTACTGAATTCTAAAAGGAAGGTATTTGCACTATTTTCCATGTTTTCACCTAAACTAGTATTTTGGCTTTAATATCCTTTCAAAATTTTAGAGAGTCCAGTGTGGTGCACCCAACCAGAATGAGGGATTCCTCAAACATAGGGATGAATTGGTAAAGTCACCCTTGCTTTGTGAATTTAATGCTTATGCATCCATAAAGGATTTTTATAACAGCTAATACTACTGTCTTTTCTGTTTACTAGAATAAAGAAACATGTGAGTTTGAATTTAGTGATGATGACAATGTACTTTTATCTGGAGAAAAGGTTATCAACTGGTTTCTTGTATTTAAGAACAACAATATACTCTTAGTTTAGTACATGTTAATATTTTACCTACTAATTATCATTTGAACGATTTTGAATTGGAATCAGTGCCAAAGTGATAATAATGACAAGGAAGTAGAAGAAGCAGAAGCACAGGCAATATTTGAACGACACCTCCATAATGATTTTGCACCAACAGAGGTACACTATTTCAATGTACCATTGAATAAAATATATTAGACTTGTAATGCTAGTTATTTAAGATGTCTATAACAGTGTATAAATACAATTGCCTTTCTCTTCCGTTCAGTTTGATTTTTGTCAAAGGAGTTCCGCCACAAGTAGAATAATACCAAAGAAACAAAAGGTATCTATGAACCACACTTTGCTATAATTATAGTAGATTTTGTGTCTTATTATTTTGTACTTTCATTTGACATGTGTAAGGGACATCACGGAGGGCTTGTAGATACTAGAACCATTGCACACCAGGAGGTGGCTCATGACAAGGCTACAAGCTACAGGCGCCAAACACCTAAACGACTTTCTCTAATGAAGGTAGTTGAACATATCACTTGTTCTAAATGCATGATCACGATGTACAACTAAAGGGTTGCTGGTCACTAAGAGATTATGTCAAATTAATGTAGGTTGGGTCCACAGTGCTACTAATGACTTCGAAATATCCTAATAAGGCTAATGTGGCATATGCAACTCTCTTGAGCACTAATCCAGAAGCCCTTGTTGGTGGAGTTAAGATAGGAAGTCAATTCTACAAAGTGCGTATCAATCATCCTATAACAAAAGATGAGCCATTAGTGAGGCCTATGCTTGGGTGTGACGATATTGGTGATGCTCATGCCAAAGGAGTCCAAATTGCTTGGCCTTCGACGTTTGTATGTTCAAAACTAGCTTTCCTAACTTTACATCAATGTATATATGTGCCTTAATTTGTAATGTTACAACTTAAATTTTCTTTGCAGGTTCAAATGATTAATGGTTGAATTCCTACATCAATGCGCACAGGAAGAAGCAGTGGACTTTAGGAATCATAGCTAGTTCTTGAATTTTTCTTTCTAGTATGGACTACGTGTGTTTGCTCTCTTGAGCCATATCGTTATGTACATATACTACGATTTGTTCTAAACAAGCACTATGTTTGAGATCATTCCACAATATGTAGATCATGCTATGATTATGGAAATTTGTGGTTTATGTGATTTTACAGTGTGTCATATTTGTGCGATTATATAATAATCCTTGTGCCATATGTATTGGAGAAATAAATATGTGTTTCATAATCCAAATATATTGCAATAGATATAAAAAAGTGTTACAAACCATGTGTTGCTTTGTTTCATATACTATGCTCTACCATAATGTGGAAGTGTTACTAGAACTAAAAAAAAGTGTTACAATAGACATTCTTGTAACACTATGCAAATGTTACGATAGATAAATAAATGTGTTCCACACTATGCATTCTACCATATTGTTAAGTGTTACTAGAGAAAAAAAAAGTATTACAACAAAAATTATTGTAATACTAGACAAGTGTTCCTATAGACAAGTAGTTGTGTTACAATAAACCAGTCTATTGTAACATAGCCAATTGAAACATAAAAGAAAATATGTTACTAAGTGAGCTAGTAACACTTTTTCCAATATACAGTAACACAAGTTGGGGTTACTATATCCCTACCCTGTACCAGTGACTTCGCCACCCGCCCGTGGAGCACGACGATGAAGGTCATTTTGGCGGATGGGGAAGGCCTGGTGTTCGCGCCCTACGGCGCCCTGTGGCGGCAGCTCCGCAAGATCAGCATCCTGGAGCTGCTCAGCGCCCGCCGTGTGCAGTCGTTCCGCGGCGTCCGGGAGGAGGAGCTCGGCCGCCTCGTCGCTGCCATCGCAGCGTCCCCGCCGGGCGAGGCCGTGAACCTCAGCCAGAGGATCGTCGAGCTCACGAATGACATGGCCGTGCGCTCCATGATTGGCGACCGGTTCGAGAGGCGGGAGGAATTCCTGGAGAATATGGAGGAGGCAGTAAAGATTACCACAGGGTTCAGCCTCGGCGATCTGTTCCCGTCGTCGAGGCTGGCGAGCCTAATCGGTGGCACGGCTCGCCGGGCGGCGGTAAACCACCGTAAGATGTTCGAGCTGATGGACTACGCCATCAAACAGCACGAGGAGCGGAGGGCAGCCATGGCCACATCTACCGAGGGAGAGGCCATCGTGAAGGAGGATCTGGTGGACGTGCTTCTGAGGATACAGAAGGAAGGTGGCCTGGAGGTGCCACTCACCATGGGAATGATCAAGGCCATCATCCTGGTAAGTAGAGTACTACTGCTACTGCATGCATGTGCATGTCTGTGGAAGGTTTTGGTTCACATCTATCTATGTGATTCATGAGTTCATGGATGTTGCGTTCCCTTTCTTGCTTGCTTGTATTTGTATGTAGGACCTTTTCGGAGCCGGGAGTGAGACCTCTGGAAGTACACTCCAATGGGCCATGTCAGAGCTTGTACGCAACCCAAAAGTGATGGAAATGGCACAAGCCGAGGTACGCGAAAAGCTCCAGGGCAAGCCAACGGTGACTGAAGATGACTTGGTTGAGTTGAGGTACATAAAGCTCATCATCAAAGAGACCCTAAGGATGCATCCGGTGGTGCCATTGCTTCTCCCAAGGGAGCGTGGAGAGTCATGTAAGGTTATGGGGTATGATGTACCCAAGGGAACTACTGTGTTTGTGAACGTTTGGGCGATCAGTAGGGATCCCAAATACTGGGACGATGCTTCGACATTTAAACCGTAACGGTTTGAGGCTGGTACAATTGATTTTAAGGGCACAGACTTTGAATACACACCATTTGGGGCAGGCCGGAGGATGTGCCCCGGCTTGGCATTTGCGCAGGCAAGCATGGAGCTCGTGCTCGCAGCACTCCTGTACCATTTTGACTGGAAGCTGCCTGATGGGATGCTGCCAAGTGAATTGGACATGATGGAGGAGATGAGCATCACGGCCCGAAGGAAACACGATCTTTACCTGCAGCCAGTTGTCAGTGTGCCGCCACATGTATGATCTTAGCTATTTAATTTACTTGCTATTTTAGCCTAGATATATGCTTTACACATCTAGTTGCATGTGTGTGCCGTTGTCTGAATTTACAAATAAGTACATGAAACACATTGTTTTTCTTTGGTGAAATGTTGAAGTTCTCTATGTAATAAAGATGAATATGAATGGTTAGAACCTCACGGTACAATGATATGTTGAAATCTATATGCTTCGTCAGTTCATCGCAAAGCTCTTGACTAGCTAGGCATGGGCAGTTGGGCTGCTTAATTTGGTTTGGCTAAGATGTGGAGACACCTCAAAATACATATTTATGAGTTCAGTTTGATGATAAATCCTGGTTCTGGTTCTCATATATGGTACTATGGTCATGTACGCAGTCACAACCTCATAGACTAGACAGATAGTCCATGAAAATCGATCAAGTTGGCGTTGAATTTCAGAATCCTCCAGCCAGTCTTGCCCAAAGCTGAGGTGCTCTCTATATGCTGATGATGCTGGGGTTTTTGCTAACCCTTCGGCTTCCGAATTATAGACGCTGGCATGCATTCTTTACTTTTTGGGAGATATTCTGGCCTAAAATTCAACTTAGAAAAATGGGGATTTACCCAATCAATTGCCCTACAGAACAAGTCCAGGGCCCTACTGTTTGTCTTCCCTAGCAAAATCAGTTCCTTTCTAGGGACCTATTTGGGCCTTCTGCTGCATACAAGAAGACTACGAAATGTGGAATTCCAACCACTCATTGATAAAATTAGAGGGAGACTACCGGGGTGGAAAGGAAAGCTTCTTAATAAGGCTGGAAGATAAACTCTAGTTAAAATAGTTTTGCTTTCGCAACCTGTCTACCAGCTTACAGTTTCCCAGCGCAAAAGTGGTTAATTCATAAGATTGATCAAATAAGAAGAGCATTCCTTTGGAAAGGGAGGACCTGGAAAATGTAAGTGGTGGCCATTGCCTAGGCAGGTGTAAGTGTGGTGGCCATTGCCTGGGCAGGTGGCCTACGGACTCAGTGGCTTTGCCGAGCCCAATTTACACTCGGCAAAAGTTTTACCGAGTGCTGCACTCGGTAAAGGTCACTTGGCAAAAAATAGGCCGGCAAAGGCGTCTTTGCCGAGTGTCTTTTGTCGGGCACTCGACAAAGCCTTTGCCGCAAAATTGGAACAAAAAAAAAACCCGAAAAAATAGGATTTTTTTTAATCGGTGGAGGCCCCACTGACCAGCGCCCGCCCATCTCCGGCATTTTTCGCGTAAAATTCGTGGCTACGAGGCCGGCGGGATTCGAACCGGCGACCTCTCCCTCGCGCGTCCCCTCCTCTAACCACTACACCACACTGCCACTTATGTCTACATTCCGTTTGGGTTCCCCACATATTATACTAAACCGAGTGCAAATTGCTTGTTTGAGGCCCTAAACGAATTCAAATAAAAAAGTTGTAAACTACAAAGTTTCATAACTTTTCGAGATCTACACTTTTAGTTTAGGAAGTTTTTCAATCCGAGATCATTTATAAAATTTGTATTTCAAAATTTTGAAATTCAAACGCAGTTTTGCATGACAAGATGATTTCAAATCAAAAAGTTGTCAACTACAATGTTTCATAACTTTTTGAGATCTACAGAGTTTATTTTGGTTGTTTTTCCATCCGAGGTCGTTTGAAAAGTTCGAATTTTAATTTTTTGAAATTCAAACACAGTTTTGCATGACAAGATGATTTCAAATCAAAAAGTTGCCAATTACAAAGTTTCATAACTTTTCGAGATCTATAAAGTTTATTTTGGTTGTTTGATCATCTATTCATCCAACATGGTCGCTCTAATATTGTTCACAAATCTTATATATATCTCTCTTATAGTTTCATAAACTACAAGAGAGATGTTAGATTTGTGAACAAATTTACTTTCACTTTGTCATATGAAGAAAAGACCAAAACAAACATTGTACATCTTGATGAGTTATACAACTTTGTAGTTAAAAAACTTTTTCATTTGAATTAATTTACTGCTTCAAAATGTGCTTTGAAATTTTCTTTGTGTAGTGTCAAGAAAAAAAACACTAGGCAAAGAGCTTCTTTGCCGAGTGTTTTTTTTTTGCCGAGTGTTTTTTTTTCTCCACACTTGGCAAAGAAGCACTTTGTTGAGTATCCGAAAAAAAACACTCGGCAATTCACTTGGCACTCGGCAAAGAGCCGGTCTCCGGTTGTGTGGACAACTTCATGCAAGCCAAAAATAGAGGAGGTTTGGGAATATTGGACTTGGAACGTTTTGCTCGAGCCCTTCGACTACAGTGGTTATGGTTCATCAGATGGAAATGTCAAGATAGAGCATGGAGGGAACTTGACATTCCTTGTGACAAGGTTGAAAAAGGGGACAAAACTTTTTTCTGGTGTTCATGCTGGATCGATGGTAGTGCTGCACGGAACATCGCCCCGCGCCTATACCCGATGACTAGGCGAAGGAAAATCAATGTGAACACTGCTCTAGTTGGAAATAGATGGGTACGACACATATTACCACTTTCATCGCCGGAAGAAACTGCAGAATTATTCTCTCTATGAGACGTGATTGACGACATAACAAGAGATATAAATTAAATCATTTTGACGAGATAACGTGGAGATGGACTACAAATGGAGAGTATCGACCCACAATGCTTACCTAGCACAATTCATGGGTGATGTAAGTAGGCTCAAGATTACTCCAATCTGGAAGGCAAAGGTTGATCCAAAGTGTCGATTCTTTTTGTGGACTCTGTTCCATAGGAAGAATCTTTCTGTAGAAAACCTCCAGAAGAAAGGATGACAACATGACCCTATCTACAAATTGTGTAACGGGCCAATGAAACGATTAACCATCTTTGCCCTGATGGCCCTTTCACAAAACATGTGTGGAACGTGCTTCTGAGTTGGTGAAATTTCTCAATGGTTAGTA